TGTGGGCCACTTTGCATACAGACAGATGAGCCTTTTTCTTTAAAAGAGGAATGTCCAAAGAACAAAAAATGTTGAAACTTGACATGTATATTGTTTCCCTCTGTAAAAACAATTGCATCTAACTTTACTGTCTGAGTGCCAAAAATGTTCTTTTTCTATAGTTTGTGTGCTTGTAACTTGTAAAGATATCTTAATATTCTTTTAGATTCTGACTCTTAAGCAACTTCATTTTTAAGGCCATATATGGTTCAATCCCAGAGAAATGGGCACCTTAGTGTTGCTCCATGCAAGTAGTTGAATCCATTTTCAGTGGTCGAGCACTGTAGGTCACTTTGTATACAGCTGATATGTATTTAACAGGGAATGTCTGAAGAACAAATGTTGAAACTAGAAACCTGTATGTATTTATTCACATAAAAGCAATACGATCTGTATCTTGATCTTTGAGAGTCATTGTTATTAATAAGGAAACGGCCATTTAGCTGGTGCAATAACTTCATTTCACTTTAGAATTTCAGAAAAAGTACATCTATTCAAAATCTTACATTTTAATTATTTACGTTTTATTTAAACTGTTCACATATTCCATCATTCATCTGTTGTAAATGCTAAAATAAATCACAGACATCAGTAACCCATATTATGTATCATAATATTTATTGTTGGGCAAAATCTTTAAGTAAGACTGTAGTGAACATCTGTAATATTGTAAACCTCGAAAGGTTTATTAGCTTTATTAGTTTTACAGACGCTGGTCTAAATGATGACCATGTTATTGCAGAGGTCCGAATGGCAGCATTTAACTTTCATGGCGGTGTTACTCTGAAGAATAAGACACTCTGTCATACTGCTGCATCTCCGAAAGCCCATGACTAGAAGAAACAGAGAAATCAAAACATATTTGACATTTATGCATGTCATGATTTTATCTAATCACAAATAGAGCATTTACAATGTAAAGAATCACATTACAGCTGCTTCAGTTTATTAGCGTCCATGTCAGTGTTGTTTTAGCATCACTGAGATAAAATTATAGTTTTTATTAATAGTTTGAATTGGTTTTTATTTTTTATATTTGTATGTTTCAATTTTTGTGGTGATTTTTGAATTAAATGTGATTGTGAATTAAATGTGAAATTTTGAGGTTAACATTTTCGAATAAAGTTATGCGTTTGTATTTTTCTACAGTGGGAAGCTGACAGGAAGGTTAAACTCACAGGGAGGGAAGTTGAATCTGGCCGCGATACAAGCATCTTTTCCAAAGCCACAGGTCTCTTGAGTTGGTGTGCAGCGTGTTCCACCCTGAGGAACGCATTGGTTGCACTTCAGTGCAGATCCTGCAACACACAGTGCATGCATCATCACCAAATCAGAGTTTGCACAATCAGAGTCATATATCACATACATATATTAACTAGGTTGCCAAGGAAACATTTCTGAATTTTCATTTAGTTTAACTTGATGTACAGAAATAACTGGAATAAAAATGTATAGACTTTACAAATTACAAACTAATAAAAATGACAAAACACACAACAGATTTATTAAACATTAAATAAAATTCAAATGAAAACAGAAGAAAATACATAATTATATTAAAATAACTATAATAGTCTCTCAATGTTACTAAAATAACACTTTGAATCATGTTAATGTGTAACCTTTTAAAGTAGCATCTCTAAACTCACCGTAGTTCAACGCCAGAACAAGAACAAGGACCACCAGCAATGTCTTCATTATTCTATTGATTAGTGCTGAAAATATTAATAATAATTAATAATCATCAATAAGAATGGGAGAAGGCAGAACAATTTGTAAACTTTGTAAACAAGCTAATCTGTCAATAATTAGTGCATGTCTGTTACTTCACAAAGCGATCATTTCACCAGGTTGTCCCTATTTTACCCAGCACTGGGTTGTATTTAACCCAGCATTGGGTTAAATATCCATTAAAATTTTGTTCATCATGACAGCAAAACCTAAGTGTTTGAAACCTGTTCATTGTGTTAAAATGAGGCCACTGTGTTTGGTCATTGTTTACTCATGCATTCGCTTCAGATCATCAGTACTGATCGTATCATGTGCTTGAGCAAGATCCTGTTCTGTCCTGCTCTACTACAATAAACCACTTGTTTTTAATATGGCACAAGTCCATTACGGAAGTTTTCTTAAATATCATCAACATTTGGGTCTCAAGCTAAACTATTATGGTTGTGTTTTCCTCTTTCTCACCAATGCATTTACATGCATACAAGTTCAGTGTTGTTTTTTAACACTTTAGGTTCAGTAAAGATCCCTCTTCTTTTTGTAAATTTACAGGTGAAACAATTTTCACTAAGAAAAATAATAGTACATTTCACAAATAAATACAAATGGCCAGAAATGCATTTAATTAAACGTGAAATGTTGTAATAGAAAGACTTTCTTGTAAAACATCATCCAGTAATCTTTGTTTTATTTACAACTTTTTTTTTTACAGTGTACACTCTAAAAAATGCTGGGTTAAAATCTTTATTTAAATAAAATGCAAAATAATAGTCCACAAGATGTTCTTCTATAGCCTGATGGGGGATTTATGTTTGAATAGCTTTCCTTTTCTTTTATCTTATATAAATATGATTGTTAGCATCAGCTCCCCTTCAATTGTTCAGTTTATTAAAAAAAAAAAAAAAAAAAAACCTTCACATTATTTTATTATTATTGTTCATTTTCATTTAGTTTAACTTTATGTACAAAATAACTAAAATAAAAATGAATAAAAACTGAATTGATTTTTAAAAACACAATAACTAATAAATATGACAAAAACACAATAAAATGACAAGAACTTTTGCTATCTCAGTTATACTAAACGAACACTGAAGCAAAGGTCAGAAAGGTCAATTAAACAGTATTGCATCCAGTGAGTCTTATGAGATGACGGACAGTTTGATACAAATGACAAATGTTTTCTTTGATTATGAGGATTGGCAGGAAAGTTCAATATTGTGTCAAACGAAGTTGAGGAACACAAGAGCCCGATGGGACAGGTGATAAATATCAGGTTTGACACTAAGAGACATATTATTATTTGTCTGTAAGAGGTTTGTTCATGTGAAGTTTATGAGATATTAACTACTTTTTGCTGGTTGTTTAGTGTCTGAATCGGTTCATTTACTGAATTTAAAATGTTCCAGTAAGTGTGAGCAGCTGTTTATTCTGAGTCCAAGGTACATGTGTGCACAAGGTTTTAATGTCTGTTTAATTTAGCTCTGCCCGTGGATTAGTTAACTGGCTGATAAGATGAAATGAACGATGGCAGTCACTTGATCTAGCAGTGATTAATTATGTTACATAAAAACATGTTATGTAAAGCTAATATGGCAGTCAGTTGCAGTTCACCATATTTTATTTGCTGGCTATTGAGATTTTTCTATGAGCACTGTCACTGAAAGCCAATTTTAATTGATTTTTCTGAGTATTTTGTCTTGTTTTTCATTACAACTATCTAAAAATGCATAAATCAAGAGACATTTACTTGAAAAGCGAAATGACTTAAACAGATATTAAATCTTGTTTTCTGAGAGAAAAACAATCTACATTTTATGCTTAAAAAAGAAAAAAATGTGTCAATAGGCTGTAAAAAAAATATATCTTATTTTCCCTTTGAATTATGTTTCTTCTTTAACTTCACTGACAGATTTTTTTCTTATTTTAAGCATAAATTGAATTGTAATTACTTAAGTCGTTTTTGGTTCTTGAGTAAATGTACATTGATGTAAGAATGTTTAGAAATTTGTACTGGGAAAAACAAGACAAAACAGAGGAAGAAAATCATTTTTGCAGCGTGACGACAGATATCAAATGCATGAGTCAAATTTTATTTTTTATATATTTTTATTTTATATCATTTTATATGAATTATTATTGTATTTATATTATTATTTTGTTTATTTGAGATATACAGTAAATTATTTTTCATTTATGTTGTTTACTTAAAAAATTCTAAAACTTTGTTTATTCCAGACTTTGTAACCCCATTGTATTGTCTTAGTAATATTCTACTGGTATGCAAATAATATGCACTAATAATATTGCAGTATATTTCAGTTTGTGATTAATTCATTTTAATGTTTCTACATGTAAATAGTTTTCTATTGCATTTCATTGGTAATATTGTATATATGTTTTTCAAATAATTTACAAAGATAAACAATTTTCTGTGAAGTGAGAATGTATGTATTTGTATGATATCTGTGTTAAAAAGCAAGTAAATCACATCATCAACAAAAATGCTAGCATGCATAGTTTATTTTAATATTAATGACCACCTTGAAACAGACTGTTTTTGTAACATTGCACAAATAAGAATTTAATGTTGAAATATTGTCTTTTTTATATATTCAGGCAAAAAAAAAAACATTCATAAACATGCATGTGTAACTTGATTCATGTGTAATGTAAGTTATTGAAAGCTGTTTTATGAGTCATGCTGATTTATGGCAGCGGCAGATCAGTCAAAGGTGTTGCAGAAGTCCTTCTGACAGCACTTGATGTTGATGTAAGCGTTCTGTTTCACCATCTCACAGCCTGACATGGACATGCACTTCTGGTAATGACCGTCTGTTTCAAACAAAACCATAAGACATTTCATTGTTTTACAAATCGTTAATGTCATGTCATTAACAGCAGCAGCTCTTAGCTACTGTCTGAATGGTCACAGTGGGCTTCATCACTCACATGGACTTCTGCGGAACTTGGCAGCAGCACATGCGTCTTTGTCTGGTGGGCAGGTTACGGCGGTGATCTCGCAGGCCCCTCCTGCTTTTGCTAGGACGCAGCGCAGGCAGTCCAGGGCTGAGCCTTAAACACACGGGACAATATTTAAATCCACACTTCCTGTTTGTGCAGATACACTCTTACATGTACATAAACCTTGTATGTATCTAAAAGCCTTTGACCTTGTGTTTTGGACAGTTTTTGCTGCTCTCATGTTGACATTTCAGACATTTCATGCATCATGAATGATCTGGAAGTCCGTTTCATGACAAGAAATCAATAATCACACACTGATTTTGACTTCACACTATTGCATGGATTTTGACTTATGATGTTCAGCTCACAAGAATTTAGCTGTTTTTCAAATTTTATATTTACTTGACATTTATAGTGAATCAAAGAAGATAATCGGTACAATATTTGAATTATAGTATTTCTTTGTTTAAAATTGTTCAAAATTTCAGAATTAAAATTTCTACCAGAAATGCAAAACCTGCCCTCATGCTACATGCAATAGTTCAACAATTTTTATTTTCTGTTCCTGTATCCAATCATATTTCAGCACACAAAGCATATGCATCATATGGCTATATTCAGTGCATAATAGATGATCTCAATACTCACCAATTTTGACATCAGAGAATGTAAATAGTTTTTATATATTTATTTGCAATATATATAAAGACAATATATACTGTGATGTACAGTACAGGGTTCTTAATTTTTTTTTACATTTTTTTTAAATCCTAAAACTTAATTTACTGTATTTCCAGACTTTTGGACCCCACTGGTTTTTAAGCTAATAGATTATTCGTTCATTCTATGCACTATGCACTAATATGCACTAATAACTGCAATACATATCAATCTGTAATTTGCTAATTTTAATGATTCTGCATGTAAAGGTTACCTGCAATAGTCTTCTATTGCATTTTATTGGTAGTATATTACATATTTTTTAAATCATTTATATTTTAAAGGGACATGAGTTAACCAAAAATTTAAATTCTGTCAACATTTATTTACCCTCAAGTTCCAAGCCTGTATGAGTTTCTTTCATCTGCACTAAAGAAGATATTTTGAAGAATGTTGCTAACCAAACAGTTGAAGGTAGCCATTTTTTTTCCATACTATGGAAGTCAATGGTTACTGTCAACCGTTTGGTTACCCACATTCTTCAAAATATCTTCTTTTAACTATCCTTTTAATGCACACGTACAGAAAGCATGATTTCAATGCATCATAGATCCAAAGTACGTTTTATGACAGGAAATCCATAATCACACTCACCGCCTGTCACGACCAGCATGAGAACAACAGCCAATACGAGGAACTTCATCATTCTGGGAAACAAACCGAAGAAGAGAAGCGACTGTTGAATGTTTACACTTAAAAAGTAGGAATATAAATCTAAACAGTATTAAAACACATACTAGACAACAACCAACCAAAAGCATCATACATGTATTAAAAACAAACCATTACTGTAATTAGTCTGAAGCAGCTCTCTACTCAAAGGTCGTAATATTTCCCAGAGTAGATCAATAAAGTTTTATCTTGTGCTTTATGATGCATCCCTGATGTATATGTTTTAATGTACTGTAAAAATAATTGTCATAAATAAAACTGTGTGTAAAGTGTAACTCACCTTTGTACTGTGTTGGACTGAGTTAAACTGTTCTTCTTCTGTCTGTCTGTATGTCTATATGTCTATATGAAACCTCACCTTTATCCTACAGTTTCTTATCAGCCCCTTCCTCTCTCTCTTTGTAGATAGATAGATAGATAGATAGATAGATACAGACAGACAGACAG